AGGGGTTTAGTTATAGGTAATACATATTTTAAGAAAAAGAGGATAAATAAGTATACACGATATGATGTAGGGCGAAATGACAGTAGTTTGTTGGATTATGTATTGGTAGATAAAAGACTGTTGAGTAGACTTCAGGATGTACATGTTTATAGAGGGGCCACAGATATATCAGATCACTTTCTAGTTGTAGCTACACTGAGAGTAAAAGGTAGATGGGATACAAGGAGAATAGAAGCATCAGGGAAGAGAGAGGTGAAGGTTTATAAACTAAAAGAGGAGGCAGTTAGGGTAAGATATAAACAGCTATTGGAGGATAGATGGGCTAATGAGAGCATAGGCAATGGGGTCGAAGAGGTATGGGGTAGGTTTAAAATGTAGTGTTAGAGTGTTCAGCAGAAGTTTGTGGTTACAGGAAAGTGGGTGCAGGAGGGAAGAGGAGCGATTGGTGGAATGATGATGTAAAGAGAGTAGTAAGGGAGAAAAAGTTAGCATATGAGAAGTTTTACAAAGTAGAAGTGATGCAAGGAGGGAAAGTATATGGAGAAAAAGAGAGAAGTTAAGAGAGTGGTGAAGCAATGTAAAAAGAGAGCAAATGAGAGAGTGGGTGAGATGTTATCAACAAATTTTGTTGAAATAAGAAAAAGTTTTGGAGTGAGATTAACAAGTTAAGAAAGCCTAGAGAACAAATGGATTTGTCAGTTAAAAATAGGAGAGGAGAGTTATTAAATGGAGAGGTAGAGGTATTGGGAAGATGGAAGGAATATTTTGAGGAATTGTTAAATGTTGATGAAGATAGGGAAGCTGTGATTTCGTGTATAGGGCAAGGAGGAATAACATCTTGTAGGAGTGAGGAAGAGCCAGTTGTGAGTGTGGGGGAAGTTCGTGAGGCAGTAGGTAAAATGAAAGGGGGTAAGGCAGCCGGGATTGATGGGATAAAGATAGAAATGTTAAAGCAGGTGGGGATATAGTTTTGGAGTGGTTGGTGCAATTATTTAATAAATGTATGGAAGAGGGTAAGGTACCTAGGGATTGGCAGAGAGCATGCATAGTTCCTTTGTATAAAGGCAAAGGGGATAAAAGAGAGTGCAAAAATTATAGGGGGATAAGTCTGTTGAGTGTACCTGGTAAAGTGTATGGTAGAGTTATAATTGAAAGAATTAAGAGTAAGACGGAGAATAGGATAGCAGATGAACAAGGAGGCTTTAGGAAAGGTAGGGGGTGTGTGGACCAGGTGTTTACAGTGAAACATATAAGTGAACAGTATTTAGATAAGGCTAAAGAGGTCTTTGTGGCATTTATGATTTGGAAAAGGCGTATGACAGGGTGGATAGGGGGGCAATGTGGCAGATGTTGCAAGTGTATGGTGTAGGAGGTAGGTTACTGAAAGCAGTGAAGAGTTTTTACGAGGATAGTGAGGCTCAAGTTAGAGTATGTAGGAAAGAGGGAAATTTTTTCCCAGTAAAAGTAGGCCTTAGACAAGGATGTGTGATGTCACCGTGGTTGTTTAATATATTTATAGATGGGGTTGTAAGAGAAGTAAATGCGAGGGTCTTGGCAAGAGGCGTGGAGTTAAAAGATAAAGAATCACACACAAAGTGGGAGTTGTCACAGCTGCTCTTTGCCGATGACACTGTGCTCTTGGGAGTTTCTGAAGAGAAGTTGCAGAGATTGGTGGATGAATTTGGTAGGGTGTGCAAAAGAAGAAAATTAAAGGTGAATACAGGAAAGAGTAAGGTTATGAGGATAACAAAAAGATTAGGTGATGAAAGATTGAATATCAGATTGGAGGGAGAGAGTATGGAGGAGGTGAACGTATTCAGATATTTGGGAGTGGACGTGTCAGCGGATGGGTCTATGAAAGATGAGGTGAATCATAGAATTGATGAGGGAAAAAGAGTGAGTGGTGCACTTAGGAGTCTGTGGAGACAAAGAACTTTGTCCTTGGAGGCAAAGAGGGGAATGTATGAGAGTATAGTTTTACCAACGCTCTTATATGGGTGTGAAGCGTGGGTGATGAATGTTGCAGCGAGGAGAAGGCTGGAGGCAGTGGAGATGTCATGTCTGAGGGCAATGTGTGGTGTGAATATAATGCAGAGAATTCGTAGTTTGGAAGTTAGGAGGAGGTGCGGGATTACCAAAACTGTTGTCCAGAGGGCTGAGGAAGGGTTGTTGAGGTGGTTCGGACATGTAGAGAGAATGGAGCGAAACAGAATGACTTCAAGAGTGTATCAGTCTGTAGTGGAAGGAAGGCGGGGTAGGGGTCGGCCTAGGAAGGGTTGGAGGGAGGGGGGTAAGGAGGTTTTGTGTGCGAGGGGCTTGGACTTCCAGCAGGCATGCGTGAGCGTGTTTGATAGGAGTGAATGGAGACAAATGGTTTTAATACTTGACGTGCTGTTGGAGTGTGAGCAAAGTAACATTTATGAAGGGATTCAGGGAAACCGGCAGGCCGGACTTGAGTCCTGGAGATGGAAGTACAGTGCCTGCACTCTGAAGGAGGGGTGTTAATGTTGCAGTTTAAAAACTGTAGTGTAAAGCACCCTTCTGGCAAGACAGTGATGGAGTGAATGATGGTGAAAGTTTTTCTTTTTCGGGCCACCCTGCCTTGGTGGGAATCGGCCGGGTGTGATAATAAAATAAAATAAAATATATATATATATATATATATATATAATATATATATATATATATATATATTATATATATATTATAATATATATATATATATATATATATATTATATATATATATATATATATATTAATTTTTTTTTTTTTTTCAACAAGTCGGCCGTCTCCCACCGAGGCAGGGTGACCCAAAAAAAGAAAGAAAATCCCCAAAAAGAAAATATTTTCATCATCATTCAACACTTTCACCACACTCGCACATTATCACTGTTTTTGCAGAGGTGCTCAGAATACAACAGTCTAGAAGCATACACATATAAAGATACACAACATATCCCTCCAAACTGCCAATATCCCAAACCCCTCCTTTAAAGTGCAGGCATTGTACTTCCCATTTCCAGGACTCAAGTCCGACTATATGAAAATAACCGGTTTCCCTGAATCCCTTCACTAAATATTACCCTGCTCACACTCCAACAGATCGTCAGGTCCCAAGTACCATTTGTCTCCATTCACTCCTATCTAACACGCTCACGCATGCTTGCTGGAAGTCCAAGCCCCTTACCCACAAAACCTCCTTTATAGTCGGACTTGAGTCCTGGAAATGGGAAGTACAATGCCTGCACTTTAAAGGAGGGGTTTGGGATATTGGCAGTTTGGAGGGATATGTTGTGTATCTTTATACGTATATGCTTCTAAGCTGTTGTATTCTGAGCACCTCTGCAAAAACAGTGATAATGTGTGAGTGTGGTGAAAATGTTGAATGATGATGAAAGTATTTTCTTTTTGGGGATTTTCTTTCTTTTTTGGGCCACCCTGCCTCAGTGGGAGACGGCCGACTTGTTGAAAAAAAAAAATATATATATATACAGTATACAACTCAAATTATGGGTTATACAAGCTCAATTATTTAGTAGAGTCCATTGTACACAATCTTAAACAACAATGCTATACAATATCACAGGATTATTCATTATGCCAGGTGAGTTGATGGGTTGGTGACGCCTGTCCAGTGTGTACGTACCAAAACTTCACATCACGTTAGTTTTGATGGTTATATAATGCCTGTAGCTGTTAATGTACCAAACAGTGACAAGCACACAAGATAACGAGATAACATAAGGAGAGGTTAAAGGGTATTAGTAGAATTTAGATAATAGAAATAATATCGGATAGGCATAGAAGTCCCCATGTATGGCATATTAACAGCCACTGAGAAAATAGTAGACAATATTTAGGAAGAGACACTTCTGAGTACATCAGTAGAACATTCGGTTACCCCAGAGCAGGACATTTAAACTGACAAAGAGTACATTGTATTCCTTTCTTTCATTTTTTGAAAAGGTCACACCGGATAATAGCTATCCATGTCTACAGTATCTAACGAGAAATTTATTTTCTCAAACCATGTAACCTGTTATAAACGATTAGAAGAAGCTTAGGGCTGACTTTTTATATCTTATAATTTCATACTTGACATCTCAGAAACCCTCCTACCCTATGTGGGTAGTAGGGGGATGATGGTAGGGTGGGGGTGGCACCGACTACTAAGCCAGTCTAAGGGTAACCGTGGCCGGTGACACTTATGCTACTCTGAGACCTCTCTCCCTGCTTTGGTTGCTCCCTTGCAACATTGCACAGCTCCTGATGACGCACTGAGAAGCGTGAAAGTACTCGAGCTAAAGACCCCCCCACCCTCACCCCTGTGGCTTGTCCTGCATAGTTAAGATTGCCCGCCTGCGATTGTTTGCATATACAGTGGATCCCCGACTTACGATATTAATTCATTCCAGAAGTCTGTTCGGGTGCCGTTACCGAACGAATTTGTTCCCATAAGGAATATTGTAAATTAGATTAGTCTGTTTCAGACCCCCAAAAATACACGTACAAAAGCACTTACAAAAATACACTTACATAATTGTTCAAGTTGGGAGCTGATCGTAAGGCGGGGGTCCACTGTATTTATATACATATATGTACACACACATACAAGGAAAGTCTTAAAGGTATGTCATTGGTAAAAGTGATTTTTTGCATTTACATTATGTCTAACAAATCAAAGAATGAATATTGACAAGTTGTACACCTCTTCACCATAATAAACAAAATAACAAGATTAATGGTAATGATAGAAGACCAGGTAAAGCAGGAAGAAGTGATAAAAAATCTAAGAAAGAACAGTGATGAACTCACACAGGAACTAGGCAAACTTAAGTTATTGGAAGATCTACAAAATAAATGAAAGTCACTAAGATGGATTAGACTAAAATATTGCTGGTACTGAGTTCAATTTTTTTTTTTTCTAAGACTTCAGTAACATAATGCTTGTCTAAGGAAAATCTTGCCATGTGTTATTGTCACGTTCTATCCTTGCAGAACGGAGAGTGTGGCAGAGAAGATGTTGTCTTCTTGGTTCACATTCCTGTTGTACAAGTTCTTGAAGGAGTGTGCTGGAGAGCCGCTCTACATGTTGTTCCGTGCCATCAAGCAGCAAGTGGACAAAGGGCCTGTTGATGCTGTTACCTCAGAAGCTAGATATTCATTATCAGAAGAAAAACTTATTCGCCAGAGTATAGATTTTAAAGAAATGGCAAGTTAACCATTCCCATTTGTTCCTACATCTCGAGCATGCACCTTGTATTCCCCCCTCACATAAACCCATTACAGTTAGTAACAAGTTGTCATATTCTTACATTTGCAACACTTTCAACATCACTCCTTGGATACACTTTTTCCAGCTCCATGAATTCAGCAGTTTCTTTTTATCTTATTGCTCACTCACAGTCTTCACTGTAAACATTTGATCTACACATTATCTTCTGTTTTCAAATCCATTCATTGCCTCTGTGTTCTTTCCACTCTCGCCTCTGCCATACTTTTTTTTTCTTTACTTTCTTGTCCCCTTTATGTAAAGACACCAAGCATGCTTTTTGCCACTCCTTGAGTACATTCCACGCAAACTTTGAGCATATATTAACTATTCCAGCATATATTAACTATCTCAGATTTTGACCCTACTCATCCTTCCATCTTCTCCCATTCAAGCTATTTGCATATGACCATGAACAGTAATGAATATATAATATTGAGTAAGTGTTCTAAATTAAAAAATGAAATCATATATGAAATATTATTGCATAGAAATGCATCTTATTTATAACATGGGTGTCTATGAGAAGACAAGTTCCTAGTTCCGAATACTGGACTTTAAACAATTGTCAGGCACACACTGTATTGATCAGTTTCTTCTTAAAATGTACATTACCCATGATCAGATCTAAGAAAAGCAGACTAAACATTCTCGGTCATGTACCCCAGGTACTTCAGACTTCCTTGGTACAATTTTTGTAATTGGCTCCCACTTTTGAATTCAGTCTTCCAGAACTATTCTTTCCTCATTCACTTACAGAATCTGATTTCTCTAATGCATTCATCTTGCACCCAATCATATTTGTCTCGCATCCCATTATATCTTTCTTCTTATGTTTCCTACTACATATTTTCATCTTTACAGTTCTCAAATTGAAGCTTGCACATTTTTTTTTCTATAGTTGTTTCAACAAAAATGATCACAGATATGGTAATGAAATGTATTATTATATACTTCAGTAAATTCTGTTATGTTTTTATTTGTAATGTGTAACCATGTAACATGCCCTTTGCAGACTGTATACGTATCTATGTGCAACTTATACATGGGAGCAGTTGATGGTCCTATGGAGAGCGGAGAGACACCAGTTAAGGTCCTGGATTGTGACACAATCTCTCAGGTTAAAGAAAAATCCCTTGATGCAATATACCGGTCCTACCCATACTCCCAGCGACCACGGAGAGAAGACCTGGATCTTGAGTGGCGTACAGGCACCTCAGGTAATTTATCTCGCTTATAGTGTATGTACATTCAAACCTTTGAACAGTAATTAAAGAAATCTGTCCACTATTTTCTCCTTAAGGAAAAGTTTATATGAGATGTTTATTAACCCTTTGACTGTCGCAAGCCCCTTTCTGAAACTGTCATTCTATGTCGAAAAATTTTTGGGAAAAAAAATTTCTTATGAAATGATAGAAAATCTTTTCCCGATGGTAGTGACACCAAAAGTACGAAATTTGATCGAAAAACTTGCGGAATTACGCTCCTGCAAAGTTAGCGATCTCGGCGATATATACACATTAGCAATTTCACCGACTTTGAGCCCTATTTTCGGCCAATTCCATTGTTCCAGTCAACCAAACTCATAGCTATTTCTTTAGAACTCCATTTTTTCAATCAATTGAGTACAAGAAACCGCCCATTTACCGATTTCAACTACCCGATAAAGTGGTCAGAAATTGGCAATTTGGCCAATTTCACGCAAATTAAAAAAGATGCCAATTTCAAAATAAAGTCCAGAATAAACAGTGCAGACATTCTTGGCACTAAAATAACATCCTCTATTCATTAGTCACATCTCTAGGCCCCTCTTATATTACTCTTGCTTTCTATTTTGATTTTTTATTCACACAAAATATAGAAGATTCATGGTTATGCAGACTACTGCATTAATGTAAAAATGGTATAAATAATATCACTGCACTAGTGAAAGAATATTAGACTCCCCAGTTGACATGTATTGGACATGTGGTGTGATTTGCTTTCTCTTGAACATTGGTAAAAATCAAACATTTCCACTTCTTTGAGCTCAATTTCAAAGTTGTTTTCAACATGAAACTAATCAAAATCATCTCTATTTCTATAATGTGTTTTCCATTCCTTCAGATGAGACTAAGAAAACGAGAATACAGCCATGAATACTATACGAAAATACACCTCAAAGTTAGTGCTTTAATCCAAAAACACGGTCAGTTTTTTTTTTTTCTCATTATGCACTGTGTGCTGCAGGATTTTTTTTATACAGTGCACATTGACCACACAAACCCATTCTCTCACATGTGGGCCTACCAGCTTTCCCTGCTTGATTTTAAGCCGCTAGAATTATTGAGTATGTATACGTCCGAAACACTGGCTCGTAAGATGTATATATATATGGCTGAAACAATCAAGGGTTAACCCTTTCACTGTTCGCCACGTAGATCAGTGTTATTCATGCCAAGGTCCCTTGCATATATCTACATCTTGAGCTCAGCTTACTCAAAGAAACTGAGAGCAGTAAATTTTGGCTTAGATATGAGAGAATGGGTCCATGTGGTGAGTGTGCATAGTACGTATATAAAAATCTCATGCCCACATGGTGCGTGATGGGAAGAGTAAAACTCTGACCTTGTGTTTGATTTAAAATAGTAACTGTGAGGTATTTTCTATGATAGCTTTGTTGGCTGTTTCTTGGTATCATTTGATAAAATGGAAGACATACAGTGGACCCCTGGATTTCATAGTCGTCAGATTTCGTAATATTCGGAAATAGTAACATATTTTCGTCAAAATATTGGCTCGGTGATGGTCATTTCGCTCATTAATAATCATTCATCCCAAACGTGTCCAAGCGGCCTGACACACCATTTACAGTCAGTGTGTCATTCTTTATCAGCCATTGAGCACAATCTCACGTGTTCATACGATATATTTTGTAATATTCCATTCGTTTTTCCAAAAGTTATTTTACAGCTCTATACATCACTGGTGAGGCCTCATTTAGATTATGCCTCTCAGTTTTGGTCTTACTACAGGATGGATATAGACTCATTGGAGAACATGCAGAGAGGAATGATTAAAATGATTTACTGTATAAGGAATCTCCCGTATGAAGATAGACTTAGAGCCTTGGATCTCCACTCTCTGGAGAGACGTAGACTGAGGGGAGATATCATTGAGGTGTATAAGTGGATCACTGGGATAAACAAAGATTTTTTTTTTTTCAACAAGTCGGCCGTCTCCCACCGAGGCAGGGTGACCCAAAAAAGAAAGAAAATCCCCAAAAAGAAAATACTTTCATCATCATTCAACACTTTCACCACACTCACACATTATCACTGTTTTTGCAGAGGTGCTCAGAATACAACAGTTTAGAAGCATATACGTATAAAGATACACACTGCCAATATCCCAAACCCCTCCTTTAGAGTGCAGGCATTGTACTTCCCATTTCCAGGACTCAAGTCTGACTATGTGAAAATAACCAGTTTCCCTGAATCTCTTCACTAAATATTAATAAAGTACTTAGGGTGTCGAACCAGGTAAGGACCAGAAATAATGGGTTTAAGTTAGATAAATTTTGATTTAGAAAGGACATAAGTACTGGTTTTCAGAGTTGTGGATGTGTGGAACGGTCTTCTGATTAGGATGATCGAGGCTAGGACCATGGGCAGCTTTAAAAAGAGATTGGAGAAATATACGAGTGTGAGGGACTGGGTTTAATTGGCATGGGAGTAAATTCTTTGGTAGTTTAGGGTAGGGGTGGTTTTGATAAGGACCTGCCTTGTATGGGCCAGTAGGCCTTCTGCAGTGTTCCTCCATTCTTATGTTCTTATGTTTTAGTGCTTGCAACTGCTAAATAAACCACCATGGACCAAAAGAAAGCTCCTAGTGCCAGCCCTTTGGTAAAGAAGGCAATAAACACGATAGAATTCAAGAAAAAACATACCAGCCAGGGCACTTCCCCACACACACAACAGCCAGGGCACTTCCCCACACACCAGACAGGGTACTTCCCCACATACACAATTTGATTTGAGTGGGACTTGCGCATGAGTGAATAGAATTATCCTTATCCTTATCAAAGGAAGGATAATGTGTTACCATTCATTGACATCTGGGACCACTTCTATGGCTTATATGACATGCATGCCAGGGATGGGGTTCACATATCCAGGGCAGGTGTGGGTTTTCTTGCTAGCTCAGTTGAAGGTGTTGTTAGGACTTTAAACTAGGATTAGTTAGAGGTATGGATTTAGAAATGGAAAATAATGAGTGTCAAAATATGGATTTAGGCTTTGATATCATAAATCTAAACAATAACAAGGATAGTAATAGGTATAGTGAAAAAACAGAAAGGAGCAGGAAGGATAAAGAGAAAGGAGGGTCTTTAAATATACGTATATTACACAAATTGTCGTAGTGCTAGGAATAAGACGGATGAGTTGAAGTTAGTTGCTAGTGCAGGTAACATTGATGTATTTGCCATAACCGAGATGTGGTTCAATACGAAAAATTGGGACACGCCTGCTGAAGGTCACATGCAGGGTTTTAAATTGTTCCAAGTAGACAGAAGTATCGGGAAGGGGGGTGGGGTGGCACTGTTTGTCCGAGATAGCTTCAACTGTTGCATAAAAATGAGTATAAAGTCTGAAATAACATACAGAGTCTGTTTGGATAGAATTTTCAGAGGGGCATGAAAAATTTATTTTAGGTGAGATATACTGTCCCCCAAACTTAGATAGGGACCAAGGGAGACTACTATTGGAAGAAATTGTTAAGGCCACAATACACTATAATGTAGTAATTCTAGGGGACTTCAACTTTAGTTGGATTGATTGGAATTTCTTGACTGAAAATTTAGAATCTTATGACTTCTTAGAAGTAGTTCAGGATTATTTTTTGAAGCAGTTTGTGATAGAACCTACAAGGGGAAATAACCTGTTTGACATGGTTCTGGCAAACGAGGAAACATTTGTTAATAATTTAAAAATTACAGATGAACTCGGAGCAAGCGACCACAAATCAATTACCTTTAGCATTGAATGGAAGCATGATAGTTGGGATAACTCGGTAACGGTCCCAGATTTTCGCTTAGCAGATTACATTGGGCTTAGAGAACACTTATCTGTGGACTGGGGTAATGAAGAGAGCTATCAATATGCTAGTTTTCTGAACACTATACATGCTGCTGGGACTGTGAAATTAAAGTTGCTAGGGATTCAAAAACTAACCCAGAATTCTTCCTCCGTAAGCCATGCATGTCATAAGAGGCAACTAAAATGACAGGAGCAAGGGGCTAGTAACCCCTTCTCCTGTATATATTACTAAATTTAAAAGGAGGAACTTTCATTTTTCCTTTTGGGCCACCCCACCTCGGTGGGATACAGCCAGTACATTGTAAGAAGAAAGAAGAGTATAGACAAAAGTTGGAGATAAGATAGGACCTCTTAAAAATAACTATGGATATTGGCAGTTTGGAGGGATATGTTGTGTATCTTTATATGTATATGCTTCTAAACTGTTGTATTCTGAGCACCTCTGCAAAAACAGTGATAATGTGTGAGTGTGGTGAAAGTGTTGAATGATGATGAAAGTATTTTCTTTTTGGGGATTTTCTTTCTTTTTTGGGTCACCCTGCCTCAGTGGGAGACGGCCGACTTGTTGAAAAAAAAAATGGGTATCTTACTGACAAAGAGAATAAAATGTGTTCTATTTTTAATAATTATTTTCTCTTGGGTTTTTGCTCAGGAAGACACTAATAATATCCCAATAATTAGGTTTTTTAGTAGGCCTGAGAAAGATAAGTTATGTAATATCTCAGTCACCAGTGAAATGGTTATCAAACATATAGACCGTTTAGAGCAAAATAAATTGCCCGGTCCTGATGAGCTTTTTTCAAGGGTTCTTAAGGAATGCAAAAATGGAACTCTGTGAACATTAAACTAATATTTATAATTTATCTCTTCAAACAGGTGTAGTGTCTGATATGTAGAAGATGGCTAATGTAATTCCTATTTTTAAAGCAGGGGACAAGTCTTTCTTTCAACACATCAGCCATATCCCACTGAGGTGGGGTGGCCCAAAAAAGAAAAACGAAAGTTTCTCTTTTTCAATTTAGTAATTTATACGGGAGAAGGGGTTACTAGCCCCTTGCTCCTGGCATTTTAGTCACCTCTTACAACATGCATGGCTTACAGAGGAAGAATTCTGTTCTACTTTCCCATGAAGATAAGAGGAA